AAAAAGTCTGCCTGTAATCCTAGCATTTAGGAAGTGGGAACAGGAGAATCCATTTAAGGTCAGTCACAGCTACATAGTGAGTTCAAGGTCAGCCTGAGCTACATGAATCCCTGACTCAAAAACACCCACATAGGAGCTGGAGAGATGACTTAGCAGTTAAGAGCACTGGCTGTTCTTGCAGAAGACCTGGGTTCGATTCCCAGCACCACATGTTGGCTAGCAACTGTCCGTAACTCCAGTTCAAGGGGAATCTAATGCCTTTTTCTGACCTCCTCAGGCATTTTGAGACACAGGTACACTTACATACATAGAGACAATACACTCAAACACATAAAACAAAATAATAATAAACACCCACATAAACAGGAGGAAAGTAAACAAATTGAATGATAAAGAAAAATACAAATATTTGGCTATATTTTCACATAAAAATCAGTTGGAGAAGTGATTTTGTGTTCATCTTTCTGCTCATTCTTTTTTGGAAAGTTACTCAGAATTTTTTTTGTAACCTCCCAAGAACATGATACAGTAACCACAGATTGTTATCACTGTTGTTTAGTTGACAACTCTTGCCTCATTACCTTTAACACTGCAGTGACCTCTATTTTATTTCAGGCATAGGATTAAATTAGAATTAGCCAGCTCCAGTTTCAACTGACTCTAAACTTCTTTATCTGAAGCATTTGGAATGTTTCCTGCCACACATAGTAGATAGTATTTCTTGCACCATTTGTCTGAGTTAAAGGAGATTTATGCGCAAAAAAATTCTTAAATGAGCAGAGAACAGTCATTTATTAACTAAAAATGATGCTTCATTTTGCTGATTCATTTAAAAATTAATTTGACCTGAGGTATCATCAAAAAGTGAATATAGGACTTGGGTCATAGCTTAGTGATTGAGAACTTGCCAAAGCCATGGGTTTGGTAGCAGCACAGAAAAATAGATAATAAACAAGCAAATAAATAAATAAATAGACATATGAAATATATAACATTCTCCCAAGAAACTAATCCTGAACCACTAGGAAGTGATTTCCCTATTCAGCAGCTATTAACAATGGAACACAATTTCTTTAGTTCTGAGAATTAGAACAAAATTTAGAAAAATAGATTTCAGTTGAGACAAATAGCCATTCCTATCACCATTCAAGATTTATGCCTTAATTTTGTCTTCTCTGGTGCCTCAAACGAAGGCCTGGAACAGTACCTGATACACAATTATGAGAGAGAGAGAGAGAGAGAGAGAGAGAGAGAGAGAGAGAGAGAGAGAGAAATACTTTTTTTAAATTTAAGATTTATTTATTCTTATTTTAATGTGTATGAGTGTTTTGCCTGCGAGTATGTATGTATATAGATATACAGGTGCACCAAGTTCATGCAGTGTCTGCATCAGATCCCCTGGAACTGGAGTTACAGATGGTTGTGAGCCACCATGTGGGTGCTAGGAACTGAACCTGGATCTCTGCAAGGGTAGCCAGTGCTCTTAACTGCTGAGCTATCTTACCAGCCCCAGCATACTTTGTAAATAAATTAGCAAATGTCTAAAGTCTCAAATAACTTTGTTCCTATCCTTCCACCACTTCTGTCTCAAGAATTTTCCTGGAAGTAAAATTCTTTGTACTTCACAAAGTAATAAAGTAATGAAAATAAAAATGGTTTTTGAATATTCATGAAGTGTGTATGTGTGTGTGTATTTGTAAGTCTGCATTCCTAGAAATGTACAACAAGAAGTTCTTTTGGGGTCAAGCTCAAGGATACAGGGTGTCACACACAGTTCTCTTCCTTCAAGTTTAGTCTGCAAAGCATTTAAGCTTTCCATGCAAGAATGAATTTTTCCCTCCCTCCCTCCCTCTCATTCTTTTTGGAGACATGCTTTTTTATGTATCTCCAATTCTTTTTAAAAAATATTTAATTTATTATCTTTACTTTATGTATATGAGTGTATTGCCTGCATGTGTGTAAGTGTACTGTGTCATGCAATGCCCATGGAGGTGAGAAGAAGGCATTAGATTCCCTGGAACTGGAGTTACTAACCAAACCTGGGTCCTCTGCAAGAGTAGCCAGTGCTCTTATCTGCTGAGCTATTTCTCCAGTTCCTGTATCTCCAACTCTTGATACTTCTGCTTGTATGGCCCGAGTGCTGGGATCACAGGCATGTATTACCATATCCAATCAACAGTGAAATTTTTAGCCAGGTGTGGTGGTATATGCCTTTAATGACAGCACTCAAGAGGCAGAGGCAAGCAGATGTCTCCGAGAACAAGGGCAGCCTGGTCTACATTAGTGAGTTCAAGGCCAGCTGGGGCTATGGGGAGACCCTGTCTCAAAAAAGACCCTCCCCCACAAAAGGAAGTTAAACCAAATATTTTTGTCTCTCTCTATATTTTCCTCATTGCCTGGCATTTTAAATATTGAAATATAACTGCAGTATCAGTAAACTGTGCATTTTCAAAACACAAATGTGTGCAATTTGATTATAT